CAACATGGAACATGTCTATGCTTCAAAGTGAAGACATTTTAAAGGCAGTTCAAGCAGGAATGAGCAAGGAAGAACCTATCTTTTCAAAACTCTAATACTGTCAGGTTGTGTTATTAAAAGTGACACACTTAATAATTCAAAAGAAGTACTAATTACTAATAGATGTAGTAGTGTTGATAAAATATAGTACAAAAGAATTAACATAAAAAAATTAGAATTCAGACTCTTTCGTACTTTAAGTTTCACTGTTTACAAAGTGTTGGCTCTAACAATGCTCACAAGCTTTATTACAAAAAAATATTGGATGTCCTGGAGAAGTTGCATAGTGAATTGTTGATCAGATATAAAATCAATTCTTATGCAAAAATTGAATTTTCACAAGATGTTATAGTGACAATGACAAAGAATAAAAGCAAGCTTAAAGCAAACACCATCTCATTAATGTAACAATTTGAATTTTAGAGTTATTAGTCTGAGAAGTAAGGTTATATTGACTCGACTTTTTTGGTAAAACCATCACACATTACAGTTGGACACCCTCTGCACTTTTCAGAGTGGCCCTTTGATAGAAGTTGATTTGAGGGTGAATTTTGAGATTTTGTAACTTTTGTGGTTATCTTTGGAGGATTTCTTAGTGACTGCTTTATATACATGTACCTCTGAACCTATTGATCAAGTACTAATAATTTCTTTAATAAAATGTACACTTTTAATGTATAGTTATTTACAATAATATACAATCTTGTGAGTGCTCCTATTTTCATTATAAAAATTATATTAATAAAAAGCACACAAAGTTACTTAACTAAGCTTTTTTTGTACATTTCTGTTAGTTTAAGTCATTATTTACAAGTTAGAGCTGTYTAGGTATGAGCTTGATGTACTAGCCACATAAAACTATCTAGAAATCCTTTCATTGACTCAACACATACAGAATGTACCTGAAAAAAAAGTCAATTAGTTTGGAGTCTTGTCTTTGGATTTTAATGGCTACATAATGAATTTTGGTAAACAGTATAAGCAGAGCAGACGTGCATATTTTATCAAACGTTAATTTGGAGAGATCAGTGGCAATTAATTTGAGACTGCACTCAAAGTACAAAGCACTGGATCAAACGGACCAGCAGTTTCTGTATGCAAGTTCTATTKAGCATCATTCTGCCTAGATCATCCATGCTCTCAGAACAGGGTCTCTGTTGAACCTTACCAATCAGAAATCTTGTTTCTTGTTTTTCATCATTAGCCAATCATGTAGCTTAAAATAGTAATAACTGGCTTTACCAGAGCCCTAGATTGGGAGCTTGTAGGCTCTGGCTACAAGAATTTAGACTAGCCATCAACGACTAATTTGATATACTATGATTAACACTTACCATCCAAGGTCTACTCAATTTTGTCAACTGCAACAACTCGGTCACCTCAGCACAACTTTCGGATGAAGTGCTAGATGTAGCAACACAAGACATCACTAGCAATGGGACTGTTGCTGTTGTCCAGTTGACATTCATCATAGCATGAAGCTCTTTGTTACCTGACTTCACTGTTGAAAAAAAAGGAAAACATGCCAATGAATTTGATACAATTTTGAATTGTTACATGTACAATAACATGCTGGAAATATTGTTACTGAAATTACCTTTTTGAGCCTCTGTTGATGAATCCACAACGTAGATGAAAGCATCCACAGTTCTGCAGAGTTCTTTGACTGAATGACTGACTTCTGCTTGTTCATGTGGTTGATTGTTTTCTATATCTCCATTGGCTAGAAGCTTGCTTTTTCTYACACCATTTTGAAGTGCTATGTTTTCTCTTTCAGCTCTGTAAGTAAAGAATTTGAAGACTATATAGCTATAACATAATAATTTCTAGAGAAGGGAAAGTCGTTTGGTGTTGTTATGTGGTTGGAAAATTGTGCTACAGGTTGTTGACTTGCTACAGGTTGTTCTTTGACAAATGGCAAAAGCCAAAAAGCAGGGATTATGACTTTGAGTCTAACAGTTTCTATGGTGCAATACCTTGTTGATGCATAAAGCGTAATAAGGTTAAGTTCTGCTTTCCCTTCTTTAAACTGCAAACATATTCCTGATCCTACGCCTGTGGAATAGAAGCAATTCAAGCATGTTTTAACAAAAATACTAACCAAAAGAGTGAGTATGTAGAGATGTGTCTGTACTCTGACAGAAAAATGTTTGGGAAATGAGGAGATCTGATGTAGACATGGTCATCATTCAATGATAGCATGCATCATATAGAATTTTATAACGTCTTTCAAGATTATACTTTACTGATAAATATATAGAAATCTCGAGCTGCAAGTGTGAACTATTATAGCTATATTATAAATGCTAATAAATACTAGTAAATACATAATAATTCTTCACCTTCAAATAAACCAGGAAACATCCCAGTTACTGTAAAAGGAGATGCCTTGTCCCATAGGAGTTTTTTTATTAGAGATTTAGTATCTGATTCAAGTCCAGGACCAAACATAACSACRTTTAATGGACGTCTATGGAATAGACTTTTGAAACTTTGTAGATTGTAAAAGACACGATCCAGAACTGAGCTTTTGGATTTTGATGTGATGTCTGAYGATGGATGACAGCTTGAGTATCTGATTCACAAGTAAAAAATAAAGTCAACAATATGATTATTAATTGGAGTACACTGTCATTTGAGAAAAATTCTGTCTGCTAACATAACACTTGCAAGAAAGCTACAGTCCAAGAACTATGACGAAACATACAGATTGCTTTGAAGCMTGAAGCACTCCATGATAAGATAACTTCTTTTGAGGACTTACATTTGTTTTGGAGTAAATTCCGAGTGGGCTTCAAGGTAGGTAGGGGGGTATGTTGTATTACTAATTCTACTCCATTTGTGAATGTYTGACCGCAACAATCTTGACCAAAGAACATCGTCCTCAGCCAACATGTACCAGTATTTGCATGTTGGGGATATTCTACATAAGGTTTTTACATCCAAATATGAAAAAATTAAAAGCTGGATATTTATCTGTTGAAATGAAGAGAAAAACAGGTTACAATAATCGAAAGTCAAAGCAATTCAGTTAATTTGTTTTTCAGTTTTTTCGTACACTTACCGGAAGATCTTGAAAACTAAACTTTCGAACTTCAGGTTCGTTTATACAGACTATTTTCTCATTTACTGTACTCCYAGCTTCTAAAATGGACGTTTCCTCCATGGCAATTTGTCCAAGTTTCGCTATATATCGAACAGAATATGTTGCAGCAGAAATAATCTTGTCGAAGTGTCTTTCAAGTAATACCAAGCTATCGTTCGTCTCTTCCATTTTGTACGGATCCGGGCCAATTCAGAATGATTTCAGTCAGAGCCTGGCGTAGTGAGAAGTTGATAAGAATGTCTTATAGAATTCCAAGCTATATATCCATGCCTACTTGTCAAACATAAGTACGAAAAAGTTGAAGACGTGGCGAATATGACCTCACGTTTCTATTTTTAGAATCAGGGTAAACCCACMATTAACACAGGAAGCCCGSTTCTAYTTCTTCTTTCTCTCTTAGCTGAAGYGCGTTTTGTAGATTTTGTTTCTATATATTTTTAGTTTATGACTATCAATATTTTTGAAAACAAAAATCCCAAAGTTTTATCCTTTTTTCTGTATTTCTGACAGTAGAGAAGCAAATTTCGAATATTTTTTTTTTCAAAATATGTAAACTCTGCAATACGATTTACTATTAAAGTTGAAATTTTGAAGATATCTAATGATARCATTGCACATTGCTTGCCAAAACTATGCTTGCCAATGCATTTTTAAAAGTTGAGGCATTTAGTTCAGATTTGTGGGTTTCCTGTGTTTCGAGGTAACATTGCTGTGGGTGGTTACTTAGCAGTCCTCTTTCGACGTCTTGACTTGCAAGATGGTAAGAACTTGATTCTTATGATACAAAAATCCTTTTCCATCGGACAATCTGTTTTATGTACACTCAAAATATAGAAAGCATTAATAAATACAAACATTGAAGTACATAATGTCTGTATTATTTTGTCTATTCCGACCTCAAAGTTTTAAAAATCGGTATTTGAAAGCTTGGGCTCAAAAGCTATGATCCTGTCGGCCATGTTGAAAAGTGTTCCCACGTTATGTCCTCCTGAGACTGTAATAAGATGTCTTTTAGTTTATGATAGTTGTAAGRACAAATAGAATAGTTACTCTGCTAGTCTGATTTCGTAAGGAAACCCCATCATTGCTTTATAATACAAAAGATATTAGATTTACAGATTTAAAGCAACATTTCAGCATGTAAGCTTAAATTTGTGGTGTACATCGATCCAATAAGCTCATTTATTTGCGTATTCAACTGACTACGGCACTTRATTCTCATAAGCAGTAGTCTGATGTTTCTAAAATTATATTTTCTACTTATCTTTGATGTTCAGTTGGTCAACAATCAACAACGTTGATTGCTGCAATTTTATATATTGTGGAATTACTGGCCATCTGATGTGTTCCATCGAATCGATTAACCTGATATTACTTACTTTTAAATTTGTCCATCAGATACCTAAGTGCATTAGTTTAAATTCAATGAGGTGTTTTAATATAATGAGGTGTTTCCCTGAAAGCTATTGATGTTTTATACTATAACTTAATAAAATCCTGCTTTCTCTTTCAGACCAAAGGTACATCAAGTTTTGGAAAGCGTCACAACAAGACACACACRCTGTGYATCAGGTGTGGAAAAAAGTCTTGGCATATCCAGAAAAAACGCTGCGCAGGATGTGGCTTCCCAGCAGCTAGAACAAGAAAGTGTAAGTATCTACAAGATACAAAAATACATGAAATTAAAAGTWTAGATCCTAGGAGCTGATGCCACAAACCACAAGTTTCAATATGTTTGAAATAACAATGTAATAGAGGATATTACATGCATAGAGATACAGAATTCATCTTGAGTTTTGGAAACATCTCTCGCAATTGAGTATATCAAGGTTTTCAACACAAGAAGGAGAAGATAAAGTATTTATCTCCAAGCRACCATGTAATATTGTGTTTATCATATGATTATCCATGAAAGCAAAATATGCTTTTAAAAAAAACTTTTACTTCTTCAAGTATGTAGAGGTACCCCTGGTGTTGTTGTTGTTGTTTTTTTCTATATACACCTACTTGCGAAAACGTTGTCATAAAAAGTAGGACATTTGTATTTTAGTAAAAAGGAATAAATTAAGACAAAAGAAGATCACTGAGGCTGAACGCTTTCTTTTGTTTTGTTTTAATTTATTCTTCCTTTTTACTAAATTCGAATGTTCTATTTTCTATGACAACGTTTCTGCAAGTAGGTGTATATTCGAGGTAGATAAAACTGTTATTTTACAACTCAACTTGCTTTCGTATGTAAATGTATGATAAACAGAATATTACATGGTTGCATGGAGATGCAGACTTTATTTTSTTATGTTTAAAATCTTTCACTTTTTTGCTATGCTCACTTAGGAGAGATCTTTTCAATGCTCAAAGATAAATATTGCAGCCAAACATTGTTTTTCTCATTTTAGTGATAATGTGACATATCTCTGTGTTTCTCTTTAAGAAATATAAAATGGCTGCTTGTGTCWCTGTCCTCTGATATAAACACGGTGGGAGTTKGAAAAACACGAGAGAAGCAAGCTTAGGAACACGAGCATAGCTTCTCGAGTGTTTTTCAATTCCCAGCGTGTTTATATCAGAGGACAGAGACACAAGCAGCCGTTTTATATTTCTTTTATAAAATTTTTCGAGCRAAAAGARAATTTTGCTGGTAAGCCGTGTCTCTGTCCTCTGATATAAACACGGTGGTCAGCCAATCAGAGCGSRCATTATATATCAAAAATTTTATAATGTCTAATAAAGCATCATTCTATTATAGTCAACTGGAGTATGAAGGCCAAGAGAAGAAGTACAACTGGAACTGGAAGAATGCGCCATCTTAGGATTGTACACAGACGATTCCAAAATGGTTTCCGCGAGGGACAAGAAGCAAAGTCTCAAAAGAAGCGTGGAGCTGCTGCCCCTCAACCTGCACAGTCATAAATCGTGAACTTTGCTCTAATAAAATGTACTAAAGAACACATAGTTGTCTGTTGCTCCTTTTCCAATTATTTTCAAAGAAATGTAYGGGATGCTCAGCCTCTTTCCCAGGCTCTTATCCCTTAAGGCCTTGGAACAAGGTTGTGGGATACTTTGAATTTGTCTGGAGTAAGGGTCAAAATCTGGACAATATTGTCTGGCTTGTATGCATTTCTTTTGAAATTTTAGCAAGTAKAAAAGGCTGGAAATTGTTTGATATTGATCTGATTAACAGCAGATTTTGAGATCTGGCATTTATTTTGTCTGAACTAACATGTTAATTTTATTTAGGACTACCCCAGTCTTTTACGGTTTGAAGTGAGGTGAAGTTCCATATGTTTAGGGGTCCCCTGTTGGTCTCATCTGTTTGCTTCGATATACCAACATCTGATTCTGTAGCAATAGCTCTCCAACTGCAGGRATAGCTCATGCAAAAAACAACAACAAACAAACTAACAGTCTGTGGACCAGGTGTTTCCAGCTGGTGACCTCGAGCCTTGACAACCTTTTTTTAGCATCGAGATTTTGATCTAGTTCAATAATTGTGGGCTTTTGTCTATCCCCAAAAAAATTAGATACGGTTTTCATAAGATCGAAATGCATCTGACTTGTAGCTTCTGGTCAACAATCACTCTTTTTTTTTGGGTCAAAAAGCAGAAAAATCCCTTTAACTTAAATGGCTCAAAACCTCTATGCGCTCTTAAAAAATTCTTTAAATTCCTTGGTTTCTTTGAAATCATTTCTGGATTCTTATCATTCTATATAATGCTAATGTTTTATAAAATGTCATCATTTAAGTTCTTTATTGTTTTAAACCTTTTTCATTTTCTCATATTTACACAGACGGTAAGATTTGAACGTCTTTCTGGACATATTTGGGCTGCCTGTGTTTGCATAACAACAGCACTAGCTAGAGTGTTTACAGTTGAGAAAGATCCGGCAGCCATTCCGGCTAGCTTACAATCAAATTCTTCCTGTTAATCTCTAAGCATTCAAAATTGAAGTAGACAAAACAATGGCCCTGTCAGTGCCCGTTTCACGTTAATCTTTTCTTAACTCGTAAAAAATGGTTTGTTTATTGGTATTGCGAGGTTGAACCTTTTGTTCAGCCACCATGGTAACTCAAAATGCCGAGCGCGCTGATTGGACGGTTTTGACCAAGCTATCGACCATACGACGAAGGACCACGAGTCRGGAAGAGTTGTGGTTGTCTACTGTGTGTACAACATTTTTATTTCTTAATTATTTCTTATTATGGCAGAAGAAAATGAGCTTTCCAATGCAAGTGAAATCATCAAAGGTAACGTTAAAACTTTTGTGCACTTTTGGTGCAATTTCGAGCGCGGAAAGACAGTTTTTTTATGAACTTACTAAGCTTAAATGTTGTTGCAACCTAGATCGCTTGTACTTCGCGACGTTACGACACAAGCCCAGGAGTAGTACAAATTTCCACTACTTCTCCATCGACGATGAACTTATCTACGAGAAGTAAGTTGATAAATATCTGAATCAACTTCGTGTGGTTTCTAGACGGGTATATCTCACTGTTATGCTTTTCTATCCTGTAGCTTCTACTCGGATTTTGGGCCCTTGAATCTCGCTATGTTGTACCGCTATTGCTGTAAGCTGAACAAGAAACTTAAAGTAAGTTTTTTTATTGGCTATTCCAGCATAAATTACAATATATTTGTTACCTTTTGCCCTAATTCATCCGCATATGTCCTGGKCAGAGTTGTAATTAGTGTTTGGAAGATATCAAACATCRSCGAGTTCGGGGCAAGTTTGCAAATATGAGCTAAACACCGATCAAGTTACTTGATTTAGCCGTTCAAATCTACTTCAAGTGATTACAAAAGCTTCTAATACAAACAACACTATCCTTTTTCTCGAGTGAAAACTTTTATTTTTGCTCCAAAGTTTGGTTTTCCTTACGCATTCGATGGAATATCGCAAGCGGGGATTCGAAAGGAGCCGATTAGCGCGAGCTCCRGAGGACCCTTTCTGTTGATTGAATTTCACTGCACTTTTTGTCTCATATAAACATCTTTTATATAAGCTTGTTAAAGTTATTTTKCTAACTATAACTTAAAACATCATATACACAAAAGCAACGGAAAACGTTATCACAATTGTGTGGGAGGTTTTATAATTAGTAGAAAATATTCAACTTCTTTTACCAAAATTAATTAAGCGGACCCTAAATGTTATCTTTGCTCATTATTTCCAAGTCATTATGTGCAGCCCAAGCATTATAATTTGAGTGACTTTTTAAAAAAAGTGCAAATTAAATGTATTTTTTAAGATTGATTGTTATAACGTGTGAAAAGTCCTCTTGTGTGTATTTTTAGTTTTGYTCATTACGTATTCTCCCAACACGTCGAAAACTTGTAAATAATAATAATTTCTTGTAATTCCAAGGGTTTTTTTCATCAATAAATTATAAAATCGGTGTTCGTGGTTACGTTGCGAATCCCTTGACCTAAATAATTCGCTACTTTGCATGAAATTTCTTGTTCTGCTTTGTTCTTACGATATCGTTTTGTAACATTTASTACTAAGATATTTTAGTCTTAAAAATAGCTTCCTCTTGATGGTATTTCAGCTATTATATGCGTGATCAAGCGATTTTTTTTTTACAAAAAACTTGGAGCAATGAGGGTCAATGTTATTATCATTCCCCCGAGGACTTAGCAGATTGATCTTTAGATCTATATCTTTATCCAAAACATATAATAGTAATAATCTACTGTATTTCTACCCAATCACTTCATATCTTTAATAAAGAGTGGTGATTTTGTATCTTTCTTCTTTATTTTGGTTTCATCACCACATAGCATAGAGAAACATAGTAAACTTCGTGCCCAAAGTGCACTTTTATATTCCATAATCGCGTCTTCCTGCATCCTGTTTAAATCTGACTTATTGTAGTTGAGCTTTTATCCTAAGTACATCTCGTAATTGTAAAGTATCTGTGTCTAGTTGTAATGGACTCTATGAAGTGTAATCTTTTGTAAAACAACATGTGGCCAAGTGAAGCATGCGATTTACAGGTTGAAACAATAGATATAACCCTACGAAATAGTTTTGTGTTGACACAATTTGTGGAAGATAGTTCAATTTGATTGCTAAATGCCATGAATGTATATAACTATTGTATAGTAAGTTAAATAACACAGTCAGTTCAGCTGTCTAGCTTTCATCTGAAAGTGTCAGTAGATAACACATTTAAGTCTGAATCAGGAAGTACAATATGATAAACTTAATGGACAATACAGGGTAGTGATTTATTCAAGTTACAATTAAAAATAGAACTTCACAATTTCCAAATTCAGCAGTGACAATAAAGATTAAATTCAAAAAATAATTAAACCCTGTGAAGCAAAGCATTGAAGTCATAGTTTGAAGTCAAAGGCAACAGACCAATAAACACAAACAAAAATAAAGGAATACGAAAATACCAACTAGTCATTTTAGTCTAAAACATGTATAAATATTATTCCTGTTTCACTTAAATGCTGTTCAGCATAATAACCTTTTRCTATTTGATTTTTTTTCTTTGTGTTATTTTTTTTTGTTTGAACCTAGCTGTTGTACCCTGACAGGTTCAGTCTTTGTTTGACAGGTTTTAATGACATAAACTTTTCTCTGACAAAATACAATTGACACAATGTCATCTAAATAGAAAGAGAAGGTCATTCTATGTAGATGTACAAGAAAATATGGACTCAGAAAAAAACATAGTSCAGATGACACTCAATAGACCTAATGAAAGGTGGACAGTTGTGATTTTTTGGCCTTAAGTAGATCAGATTTTGTGGTGTTAGGATATCACAAACAAGCTACAATTGTGTCATAATAGTCTGGTTTTGATGTCAATTAATGTAATCATAAGTGCAAGAGTCATGACTTGTTCTTTTCACTTTTATTGATTGATTTTAGTTGATATTCCTAAGGTTGTGTTTCTGTTTATGAATGTAGCACACATTGTTTTGGTAAAATTAAAGTATATAATTAGATGAAAAATAATTTAAGATAAATAAAGATTACATAAGTTGAARTAATATAAAAGAATTATGCACCTTAGGCATGAAGCTTACGCTTGCCAGGATGGTAGAGCGGATTTCATATGAGTGGGACACCGTTACCGCACGGTTACCGCACAGTTACTGGATCTGGCCTGCACAATTTTGGTGAACCAATAATGCACTAAAATTTGGTTACAGTACAATTACGGTCACAGTACAGTACCGTCTGTTTCCCACTCATACGAAATCCGCTCTATATTTGTCATAACAATATGTAGCAAATTGTGTCAGTAGAAATAGTCACGCAGCTCACACTTTTCAAATTTCTAATAATCTCATTACATGTTGGTCACCATTTTGTAAGGCTCGGTTTTCAACAACTGATGTAATTTCGTACTAAGCAACATTCGAATTCATTGCCGCAGAGAGAGTACAAAATCCCGACAACTGAAAACTGAGTCAACCATTTTAGATGATTTTTTAATTGCCATTTTTATTGCCGTGATTTTTGCAGTCCAGGTTATTTAATATTTYATACACTGTTGTGTTGTTGCAGTCTTTTTCTTTGGCTAAAAAGAAGATTGTCCACTACACAACCAATGACAGCAGAAAGAGAGTCAATGCAGCATGTTTAATGGGATGTTACTCTGTAAGTATATTGAATTTACTCCCCAAAACTCCAATGAAGTGTCTGCACATTGTAAAAAAAATGGTTGAATGAAAATTTTAGACAGTTGATCATTTTGTCCACATGACATCTTTTTTTTCTTTTAAAAAAATTCAATATCACAAGCTAACAATCATTCAAAATGGCAATGTGAGTTTACATTTGAATATTAATTTAATCAGCTGTTTTTTCTCAAGGTACTGACACTTCATGCAATTCAGTTATAAGCTTAGGGCTGGTGGTGGCACAGATGGCCCAGCCTTTTCAAAATGTTGTCAAAGTTTTAAGGAATCTCTATACCATTGATAAGATTTACAAATTTCAGGACCCATTCCYACTTGAAAAATGATGTGGTCAGCCCTCTCCCCACCCCCACCCTGTTTAAATAATGCTGCCCTGCCTCTTTACATACTTTCCTTATCCTTTTGTTTGAAGGGTGAGTAACTGTACTGACTGTACTAAGGGTCGATATCCAGTGTGTTTTGTGATTCACACTTGAAGCTGACTCAACTAGGACTTGCTATACACATCTGAAGTACAAAATGTATTTTGTATATAGTTGTCATTTAAATTTTTTTGTTTATTTGTTATTTAATTTAGATCATTTACCTAAAAAAGGCTGCAGAAGATGTCTACAGGGTATTAGCTGGTAGCTGCAATCCACCTTTTTTGCCTTTCAGGTATAGATAATTCTAGCATTATTTGTATTTTTCTGGGTTTGATTGACAGATTAGTAAAAAACAATTGGCACCTGACATTTAATGAATTTAACTACTGTATGAAAACTACTGTAAGAAACCAACTTCACAGTCCTATTGAAGATTCTTAATCTGATCATAAACCATGAAAAACTTAATGAAAAGATTACTGMCACAAGRGCAAGAGCTATAAATGTTTTTGCCACAAATGGTTGCTAGTCAGTTAGTGTGTKKGACAGATTGTGGTCAAAATTCTAGAGCTAAACAGCTGTTTATAAGTATGTTGGTTTGAAAACTTTTKTGTGGTCACAGCTATTATATTGCTAAATGTATTACTCTTAMTGTAAGCAGTAGTTATTAGTTAATAGAGGACAGATGTCTTATAACCACAGAGCAGTAATGAGATTTAGGTTATGAGTAAAATTAATAAAATAATGACTTATGGATASAAAGTGAAAAAGGTGATTAAGAATCGTATCCTCAACTCAAATAGGATAATAATGTCAAGATATTACCTTGAAAATATTAAAAAATTATACAGTATTACTCTTTTGCTATGTTGCTATGTTGGTATTAAATTATTTTAATCGTATGAGGAACCTGATCCCATTAAAGAGTGCTCAATATTATTATTAAATACTGTCTGATGAGTGCGTAGCACGAAACTCGGAGTTACAGCAAAATCTTGCCTCTTTGATATCATATATATTAAATTATTTTATAAATATTTCATAATCACTAAAAAAAATAATAGTATTTTGCAAAAAGTATATATTAATAGAAATTTGCATATTATAGTAATACTTTGATAACTGCTAATATTTTAATAAAAAATATTCAACCAAATGATAACCCATAGCTCAAAAAATTTTACAGTCTTAAATTCTAAGTGTTTTTTAAACCACTTTTTCACACAAATATGTTGGCTTTACATCCTTATAGAGAACAAGAAATAGATATTGTCAACTTAAATTTAACAACTTTGTTTCCAACAGAGATGCGTCATTTGGAGTATGCTCATATAATCTGTCATTGGTGGATGTGTTGTGTGGACTTCAAAAGGTATGTAAAGAAATCTCTGTTATTCTAACTGTATTGAAACATGCTTTGTAAAGCTAATATATATAATGGTAAATGTTGTTGACAATAAAAGCGTTATTTCAATAGTACAGATATTGTAGTTTGAAACAATAAAGAGCTCTTTTATAACTTTGTCATTTGTGTGATATTGCAGGCTTTAGAGCACAATTTCTTTGATTTTGAAACCTTTGATGTYGAGGAATATGAGCACTATGAGGTAAGGCCGTCAGCACTTTATTTTAATGATAAATTGTTGACTTAAAACTCATGTCATTGCACTAGACTTGCWCTGATAACATAAGAGTGCTTTGTTATTTTTTTGTCARTTTGAATAAAGTACTGAGCTTGGACCACAACCACAGACAATAATATAAGATCTTATATTTGAAATAATTCAATATAGATTCAGAGAAATATGTCAATAAAAAAGCATCTGGATCTAAAAATACACATTCTTCTTGATATAATAATTGTTTTAAAAATTGTTGTAATTCCATGCCAACACTCTCTGATTATTGTTTTTCTAGAGAGTAGAAAATGGAGATTTTAACTGGATTCTCCCAGGAAAGTTTTTAGCATTTAGTGGACCACACAATAAAAGCAGAATAGAAAATGGTAAGAGAGCAAAATTGACTGACTTACAAATAACTTATTTCTAATCTCATCACCTATTAAAATATCGGGGAAAAAAATGGTGAATCTTGCTATTATTCAATATATATCACTTTCTAATAATTTAATAATATTTTGTATATCACTTTCTAATAATTTAATAATATTTTGATAGGTTATCCTCTTCATGCCCCTGAGGCTTATGTCCCATATTTCAAAAAACATGATATTTCCACGGTGGTAAGGCTCAATAAAAAGCTCTATGATGCAAGACGGTTTACAGACCATGGAATCGAACATTATGATTTGTTCTTCATCGATGGCAGTGTCCCTAGTGATATGATTGTTAGGTAAGCTGACACGGATGTTTAATGGCCAACTTCCAAACTTTGAATTTTCTGGTATTTTACTTAGTCATTAATTGGGTTAAGAATAAAATTTTTATTTTTATGACATAAAACAGACGGTTCCTTACTATCGCTGAAAGTTCAAAAGGAGGAATAGCAATCCATTGTAAAGGTAAGAACATTTTGTGATAGAATGATCATTCTTTTATCAATGGCTATTTTAACTTGTCCAGTATTAAGTAAAATAGTCTGGACAAAGACTATTGTATAATATTCTTATTGTCTGTTTGTTGTTTCAGCTGGTCTTGGTAGAACAGGAACACTCATTGCGTGTTACATTATGAAACACTACAGGTTCACTGCAGGAGAAGCAATAGGCTGGATAAGGTAAAAGGACTTGACCTAGACTTCAAAATGATAAGAAAAGATAATTAAATAAATCCATCTTGCTCTTTGCAGAATATGTAGACCAGGGTCTATTATTGGTCCTCAGCAGAACTTCTTAGATGAGTAAGTTTTATTGTGCTGTGCTTATAACGCAAGTGAGAAGGCCTAACATTTTGCCTCGTGGCTGTTATCACTAGTTGTTTGTAGCTTTGCGTTGCTGTGTGGTTGTGCTTGTTAAGCCAATATTTTTGCAAAGAGACTCCAAAGTTGTTGCACAAGTTTGTGTCAGGAGTCAGAATCTCCCCATTTGGTGTCAAACTGAGGCCATTTTTTGGTCCATGTCTTATTATCAGTCCTTACAAATCAGTTCATAAGGCTTACTGTGCCACCTGTATTCATACCATTTTGCTGTTTGGTATTACTAGAAAGCAAGCAAGTTTGTGGATCCAGGGAGACATTTTCAAGAGTCGAGAAAAGGACAAAAGTAAGCTATCATATCAACAAAATAATGTATTGTTTTATCATGATACCAGGGTCGTGACATGGGATATTTTTTTGCTCTTGTAGTGTTTTTGTTTTTTTGTTTTTGTTTTTATTTTTTTTTTGACCAAAATTTTAATCACTGATCCGAAGTTTTTGTTCAAATTTTATCCCTGATTCCACAAAATTGGAGTGATCCTATGCATTTTTTTCGGGCAAACTCAGTACTTGTGAACCTGATCCCAAAGCAAAATTTTGATCCCAAAAATAACGCTAATACATGATCCCATATGTCATGTCACAACCCTTAGATATGAAGTGTATCGAGATAGAGCGTTTTTCGTATGAGTGGGAAACGGACGGTACTGTACTGTGACCGTAGTCGTACAGTAACCAAATTCTAGTGTCTCATTGGTTCGCCAAAATTGTGCAGGCCAGGTCCGGTAACTGTGCGGTAACTGTGCGGTGTCCCACTCATACGAAATCCGCTTTATATATAGTGTACGTCCCGTGCATATTAGTAAGAAACGTTMTGGCTTTTTGTTTTTCAGTTGAAAGTCTTGGTATCAGTAGGATCACCAATGGTGTAGATACAATCAAGATAGAAGACAGCTCCCCAATCAAAACAACAAGATCAAAGCTTTACAAGGTAAATTATGTAATATATGGCATATAGGGGGGACATTTATGGGCAGGACGTAAATATTTTTTAAAGTTGCTTATTAAATTACAACATAAGCTAGAGCGTATTTTGCTGAAAACTTCAAGATGAAATACTATTTTTAAGAGAAAATCAAAGTTAAAGTCGTATGCATATCAGGACAAATCTCTTCCTCGTATAAAGATTCGGTCACGGCAACGATTTCCCATTGTGTTTACCAAATTAATTATTAACTAATTTGNNNACAAAATCCATGGTAACAAGCAAGATAGTAAATCAAGATAGAATTATCATAGAATCCATGACAATGATAAGCATGATGACACAACAGCCTTAGTAACCGAAACCGTGGCAACAAGTACCATAGTAACCACCTGTGGATTATTGATAGAAAATTTCGAATGAACTCCAAAAAGGAGACAAACTTTTTAAACTTACCTTGCAAAAAAGTCTAGCATGCAAATGCCATCAGTTTTCCATGAATTTTTAAAAGAAATTTTAAAAACTGCTGATGACCTTTTGAAATTTCACCTGAAATCATTTTAAACGTTTTTAGTCATTTTTAAGAATAGGCTTTTACTCCTAAATTATGTAAAGCTCGACTATAGCAGGAGATTATAATATAAGAACTTTGTATCATAAGATATCATAAAAAAACCGACATGAAAAGCGTTGAGGTGCCTGTGTTTTTGACACAGGAATCCCAAGTTTAGACTTAAATACRAYAATCAACATAACAGGTTAAACTGGTTTCTATCTTTCATAATTACTACATTACCAAGGGGGGGTAGGGATGGTCCAGTCAATTGCACTTTACCCTACCCCTCACATTAAATAGGGCATGTTTTCTATAGATTTTGTATATTTTTGTATAAAGCTCAACGTTGCACGTAATCAAACGGGTTTTTATTTTAGAGAAAATCTTTTGGGAAATTTTTCAATCTCTATGGGAATATTTCACAAATATGTAATACTAAGATAAAGTATTTTTATATCATAATTGTTATCATATTACATGTAAATTGTATATTAACTATAACATTTCAGACTTCGTATACTTTAGTTTTGAAAACTTGTCACTCAAGGTGTCACGTTTATAGAGTGGGGCATTGCGTGACGAATAGAAGAGACTTAATGGGACGTTGCCTTTTTGCAATCGAAGGAAATGAGTTGAGTTCAGTTTTATATTTTAGTGGCGGTTAATGGACATTCGCACTCTTTCCCCCTCGTTATTGGCTTGCACAGGAAACCCAAGGATGACTTGCACACGATCAGTTCTTTAGTAGGAACTTTTACTGCCCAGTCAAATTGATTTCAAGCTAAATATCTTTCACTTGAATTGTGTGCGGCAAGTCGGCTTTGGGGTGCTTGCTTCAAGTTGACCGTCATTTTACGATCTTATTTTAACCGCGCTTTTAGTATAATCACGAAACTGGTTTCCTATGATGCAAAGCGTGCATTTTTTGGAGCTAGGTAACCGCCCATTGTATACGATAATATGTAATTAGTGTGTGCGACGTCTGTGTTGACACAACGTTGCAAATAAAGTAATTATTGGACAAACTGTAGTGTGCACTTTTATTATACACCGAAAATTCATTGCCCTGTTTCCCAATGGATCAGTGCTTTTGAGATATTCTTTATAATCCCTATCTATAGCGATGCTCAATGTGACGTAAGCCTTCGTTATTCATGTGTCTTTGTTATTGGCTGTTAGAACAAGAGTTTGTTGATGAATTTTGGAAGACGGTGATGTCTATTGACTGTTATACATTGCAGCAACTAGCTTCCAACAAAAAGTTTGTCAAAGTTAATTTTAACGTTCGTCTTAAGTTCACCACGATGAGGTTTTGCTTCTCTGGTGACTATCGTTTTGAATGAGAATTCTTGTTTATTCCGCCATTGAAATAAAAATAAGAATAGAAACCCCAGTATTTAATTTGGCGCGTACTGCATTCATTCAGTTTTTTGTAGATGTWTGTTAATACTCCTTTGTCGTGGATTATAGAAAGACCAACTGGAATGAACAGATTTTTAAACAGAACATTGAAGCAATTGCCTTTATTTTGTTTAAGGAATAATTTTTTTATGTATTTTGTACTAACTCTAACTATATTTACTAGCATTAGTATATGCCCTAATAAGTTCATAAATATAATGTCATTAGTATGAAGAGAATCAACCTTTGAATCTCACGACAGTTTGCATTCATTAGACTGATGTTCTAWTCAGCCATTCAAATTTCAATTCCCATCTYTTAATTGTTTAASTCCAGACTTTMTTCTGACTGGTGTCTCAGCCTTCTTCTTGTTTGTGTCCCTCCAGGCTTTCTTCCACATCTATAATGAAATCTGGTTCTTTGTCTTTGAAATTTGGCCTTAAAATGCATTGGCAAAAGGCGCCATTCYCTTAGTTTTATTAAGATGCAGTAATATCGTTTTTGTCTACTAAAATGATTGACCTTCGAAGTTCCATACGATCCGCCATTCGTAGAGACAACAATAAATCCAACAATAATAATATTAAGAAAATTGTTCTAATATTCAGKGGGGTCTAGTTTCACTGCTCAGGGGGTACCACCACTACCGCTACAGTGCAATGCTGTACGATGTAGTCACTAACGCTTCCCAGTAGCGTGCGACGAATCGTTCCCAGGCCTCTATTACCGATAATAACCATGTCAACTTTGTTGTCTTCAGCCATTTTGCAAATTGCTTCACCAGGGCTTCCAACAGAGCAGATTGTTTGATATTGAGCTTCTTTTTTCTGTTAAAAAATCATGATAGAATTTTTGAAATCTGGTATATCAATCTGGAGTCAACTGAAAAAGGTTTCGAGAGTTTTGATTGAGATTAGCGGGGAGCTCGCATATTCACAAAAATAGCAGTGAAATCATGTTATCTTGGCTGATAACAAGACTTAGTATAAAAAGAGCAAAGAGCTTCATGCTATGATGAATGTCAACTGGACAATAGCAACAGTCCCATTGCTAGTGATGTCTTGTGTTGCTACATCCAGCACTTCATCAGAAAGTTGTGCTGAGGTGACCGAGTTGTTGCAGTTGACAAGATTGAGTAGACCTTGGATGGTAAGTGTTATCATAGTTTAGTATAAACATACTAATGGTCTATCACTCATACTGCGCTGTGAGACTCTACTAATGGTCTAATTTGTGATAGACCACTCGCGGGAAAATCAAAATGGCGACATCACATCTCATTAATAAATTATTTTAAGGATATTTCAATTTGTTTTCATTATTTGACCGATTAGTATGTTTATACTAAAACNAAGAAAACATTATCAAACCATTTGCAAAGCATAAGTCTTGATATTGGTAGCCTTATTCTAATGAGTCCTGGTGGTATATAAAAGGAAAGTAGTATTTCATGTAACAGTTAATAATATTTAAGCGTAAATATTGTACACTTCAAGAAACTGTCTTTCGAACATTTCGAGGTCGATGTTACTAAACGATGCCTAATTATATTACTACATGTGTACATTTACCATTTACTTCATAACCTGCGTTGAATCTTGACCATCACTCAGCAAAAACTGAAATAGTAGTTGCGTATATAAACCACTGAAGCCTCCATATTGTAAACACAAAGTCATTAATATCAACATTTCTTAAATAAGATTTTAAACGGTCCCAATCAGTCCAATGACGCCAGTGTTTTTCCTCGTTGTAGGTTACACTATTTATGGGTGTTCTTGAGTCATGACAGAACATTTCAGGGTCAAAAACAGCCAAAAACATTTTTGGAAATTGTCCTTCGTGTCGTTGTAATTTCTCGCTTGAAGTGAATCACTAATGAATTTCAATGAATTTTCAACAAACTGGCGCATGCGCACGCCAAACGGCCCCTTGTTCACCATCACAGTATATCACCTCTAGTTTTCTCAAAAGATAGTTATTATATAGGTATTGCGTCACCAGGAAGGCATGCGGCACCGATCCCGGATCCAATAACTGCATTTTTATTTACCTCATCTTTGCCTTCATTCTCCGATACRTATTTCTCCAGTACTTTCTCTAAAGGCTCGGTTACTACGTGGGCTTTGGCATGCAATTCTTCCATGATTTGGTCCCACTCCTCTCTCGAGAGGCTCGGTCCATCTAAACACGTGATCAATGAAGATTGATACAAGTAATTTCATTCACAAAATTCACACCGATTGTGAGAATTATTGCTAATAGATTTTCAAAATAAAAATTTGCATCTTGAACCGCTTTAAATCATGAAATAGTATATAAACTTTGACAACGTATTTCATGCGCCATATTGAAAGATCTTTACATTAAAGCAAGACAGTGGCTGACTGATCCTGAAATGGCTTGCCTTTTTTCACCTAAAACATGTATTCACAGGATTATCTATCATTTTGCAAGCTCTCAGGTCGACGTCTTGCTTCGATACAAAGGCAAGGCTACCTTTCAAGATGGCGCAGGTCGAGAGGAGGGAATTTAAACATTTCTTCCCGCTTTGACTTTGGAAAATCAAGATGGCGGCCATGTTAATATTGAAGATGGCGGTCATGTTCATGAATAGGCCAGCATTATTGAAAATATATACATACGTGCGTAAGTGGGGGGCGGTATAATGGAAGCCGACTCAACCACGTGCGCAAATAGAACTTGGTCTCCATGAAGTCGGCTTTTATCCAAATACCCTAAAGATAAAAGTAATGAGAGTTTTAGCTCATTATATAAAAGAAAAGGTTTTACAGTGCGATCATTTTCACTTGCAGACAATGTACAGTGATGGTGGAAAGTAGCGGTAAACTAGTGTGAGCTGCGTCGGTGTTTCTAAAGAAAGAGTTGTGTAAAAAGATAAATTTAATTTACACCGTAACAATTGTTTCATCAATTTTTTTTACGGTGTTAAATTTATATTTTTTTTTACAAATATACAACGATGCTGTTGTCGTTTTTTTTTTTACTAGAAACTGAGCAATAAGTTCTTGCCTTTTTTACCTTCTTTATGAGTCATGGTTTTTATTTGCTCTAGAAATAGCGGTCTAGTTTCAAAAAGGCAATAGTCTCCTTCACGGTTACCTGCGACATCTTGAAAGGTAGTCGTGCCTTTGCATCGAAGCGAGACGACCGTTGAAAGTGCAATGATAGAAACCTTCTTTCACACCTACAGACAAGTCTTCACAGGTATCTATCATTGCACGCTCAACGGTCGTCTCGCTTCGATGCAAAGGCACGACTACCTTTCAAGATGGCGCAGGTAACCGTGAAGGAGACTATTGACTGTTTGCACAAGGCAATGCAGCGCCAAACAGACCTGAAATGTTCTTATTTTGGCTAATCAAGAATACTGGAAAAAATCACGCGCTTTAAAGGTTGTAAATTTGATGTAAATATGATGTAAATGTCCAAAATTCTGTAAATTTGATGTAAATGATTTCCATTAAATTTACAGAATTTTGGACACCTACATCATATTTACATCAAATTTACAGCTTGTAAAGCGCGCCATTTTTTCAGGGTTTTTTTGGACACTTTCCGCTATTGTTATTGTTGTTGTTGTTGTTGTTTTTTTTGCTGATCAGATGCATACCTTTAGTTATTATAAATAAGAAATTTAATA